CACTAATTTGGATAAAAGTTTTTTTTTCATAATTATGCAAAGATTCTTAGACAGTTATGAAACATAAATATTTTGGATTTGAGTAAATTACAAACACACCCTTGAGGTTTTTATTTTTAATTTTATTTTTCCTATTTTGCCCTTTTATTTTGTATTAGTTACTAATGGTAACCTATAATTTGACTTTCCTATTGTACCATTTTCTTTGGTAATATTTATCAATATTGATAATACTAATTCGAGTGAAGGGTTTTTCATAATAATGCAAAGATTTTTGATCAGTTATAAAATATAAATATTTTGTTTTTGGGTGAATTAAAAATACACTCCTGAATTTTGTTTAAAATATGAAATGCCATTACAAAACTACAAATTACAGCTATTTTTTATTAGAATTTTAAATTTAACAGAATAAACAGATTTTTTTTAAAAAAAAATATTAATTTGAATAAAATATGAAAAAACCTATTGAAATAAATGAAAATTCATCTAAAAATAATTTTTAAAAAAATTATCCTATAGTATTTTAATTATGATTAATGAGACGTTTGGTTATATTTCATGTGTTATTTAGTTATGACTTATGTCTTTTTTTAGTTATGACTAAAAATTATGAAATTATGTCATTTTTTTAGTTGTAAAATGCGTACATAGTCTTTTTCCAAAAAAAAAGAAAAAGGAAATGAATAATTTTATATATACAAAAATAAAACGAAATATTATAGTCATTAAATTAAATAGATAACATTTAATTTTATGGAACTGCTAGGTAGCTCGAAAACTGATTGGCCCGAATGGCTCGATTTTCCCAAACGACCACGTTTTGACTTTTTTTTTCTTTCCCTCTTGCTTCCTCTTCTTCCTTCCACTGGGCAATCTACAAAATTAAAGAAGAAGAAGAAGAGCCCCAAAAAATCAAACAGTAGCAAAATCTGAGAAAAAATCAAAATCAAAACTCAAAATCAAAGTCTAAAATCAAAACCAATTGGTTTTTTTTTCCCCTCTTTGCTTCCTCTTCTTCCTTCCCCTTGGGCAATCTGAAAAATTAGAGGAGGAAGAAGAAGAAGAAGAAGAAGAGCCCAAAAAAATCAAACCCAAAATCTAAATCTAAATCTAAAATCAAAACCAATTTCAACAGAAAAATCAGCAGAACAAAAAAAGAAAGAAGAAGAAAAATAGCACTAATTTCAACAAAAAAAACAGCCCAATTTCAGCACAAAAAAGCCCCAATTTCATCACCAAAAAGCGCCAATTTCAGCATCAAAACAACACCAAAACAGCAGCAAAACAGTAGCAATTTGGCAAAAACAAGACCAAAATAGCAATTTCTTCTCCTCCTCTCCTCCTTCTCTTTCTCTCTTCCTCCTCTATTTTCGTCTCTTCCTCCGCTATTTCTCTCTCTTTGTTTTGGTTCAACTTTTGAGTGGAAGGGATTAAAGGAAAAGAAAAAAAAGTCAAAACGTGGTCGTTTCGGAAAATCGAGCCATTCGGGGCAATGACTTTTGAGCTACAACGCATTTTCCTTAATTTTATTTTAAAATAAAATAAAATATTACAAAATTTTCGGGCCAATCGGGCTAGATCTGACTTCAAAACAGATGGCCTAAATCTAGGGTCTGGGGCTAGGGCTGGCTGGGCCGTGGGTTGTATTTACACCCCTACCTATGAAAATGAACACCTTATCTCAATATCTTTCCTAATCCCCTCCCTTCATGAGGTTCATATTTCATTGAGACTAGTTGCAAACAAACACATAGTAGTGGATCCTATTCACAATTAGTCCCACTCTCATGCCTTATCTATGAAAACAAACATGGCCTTAACGTCATAAGGATATGTATTTTTTGTTAAACAAATTTATCATCTTAGGTGCTAATAATTTCTTAGAGCCATCGGATTATTTTATTTTTATTTTTTTGAATTAACCATGGTACACTTATGAAAAATTCTTTGTCAAGAACTTGTGCACCCCTAGAGAGTAGTTGGGTTTTAATCCAGATATTTCGGTGCAATCAAAAATAAATAAATAAATAATAAAAAACAAAAAACAAAAAACTTGACGGACTATGATTGTTTTTTAACCTTTATATTATTTACATTGGGTTAGCTATCAATACAATATTGTATCCCTAAATTAGATTAGGTGAACAACTTTTATCTCCTACTAATCCAAGCAACTATTCCCTACTATCGAAATACGAAATTTCTATTTAACTAGCAATATCAACCTATGTCATTATTGTTATATTTAATATTTAGTCAACACACTCGAAACCGTTGAGATATCATCCAAGAGTACACTCCTCACACTACTGAGATATTGCCCAAGAGCATGGTTTTAAGTACTGGATTGGGCCAGCCGGTTCAACCGGGCTTGATTCTGATCTGTTTTGCTAGGGATGTAACTTGGGCGGGATCAATCCGAGCAATTCGAACTTAGTCTGAATTTTTTTAAGACTTGGATAAGATATTTTTAAATTCAGTACGGGTTTGGGCAAAGATTTAAAAGCCCGAATTAAATTTGGACGGGCTTGAGCAAAGATATTAAACCCGAGCAACCCGAAACCCGAATTATACATATTACATATATAGATATATAAAAATATTAAATATACATATAAATTATTAGCCATTACATGATATTAAAGTAATTTTAATTATTAAATCATTATTGAATATATATTATTATATATACGAATAACATAAAATCTTTTTTTTTTTTTTAATTTTCACTCATAAATTGTAAAGACTATTATAACGACATCTCTCTTACATCATATAAATTATTTGTTTTGGTGGTATTAATGATTTTTTATATAAAAAAATGAAAAAAAAGTCAAATTTTAATAATTTAATAATGTAGCTAAAAAAAAAAAAACTGAAATTCATTTACAATTCGAATTTAACTCGGGTCGGGCTTGAGCAAACAACCTCGAATTATAATTTGGGCCTGGATGGATTTAGATAAGTCTCAGTACAACTTGAACTAGAATTGAACAACCTTTCAACCTGGTCGAATCCACCCGAATTACGCCCCTAGTTTCCACATGAAATCAGCTTCACCCAAAAAATAACCAGTGTATTTTAAAAAAATGGTCCAAAACAACGATTAAACCACCAGCCACCCGTTCAAACTGTGCGCGGGTCACAACAGTCAACCGGTTTGAGAAATTCATTGCTGGATGCGTAAAATATGTTGGTAAGGGACTTAAACTTGGATGCTATTGGATAATAAGCTACCATTCTATCCACCAAACAAGCATTGTAGTTGTTAGCATTCGTTGTAGTAAATATTATTTATTTAACATACAGCGGGAGAGATTGATGCAGATGTGGTTCATAGGATTAAGGCGGGATGGTGTAAGTGGAGAAGTGCGTCTGGGGTATTGTGCGATAAACGAATACCCACTAAACTAAAAGGTAAGTTTTATAGAATAGCTATTAGACCATCTATGTTGTATGGGACGGAGTGTTGGGCAACTAAGAAACAACATGTAGATAAGATGAGTGTGGCTGAGATGAGGATGCTAAGGTGGATGTGTGGTAAGACTAGACAGGACAGGATTAGGAATGAGTGTATTCGGGAATGGGTAGGAGTAGCACCGATAGAAGATAAGTTGAGAGAGAATCGTTTGAGATGGTTTGGTCATATTCAACGGAGACCAACAGAGGCAGTAGTGAAGAGATGCGATGCTGTAACGGTAGATGGAAGTGTTAGGGGACGGGGTAGGCCTAGATTAACGTTGACTAGCGTTATAAATAGAGATATGAATCTACTTAATTTGACTAATGAAATGGCTTTTGATAGGGCCGCGTGGAGAAGAAGGATTCATGTAGCCGACCCCATTTGATGGGACTTAAGGCTTCGTTTGGTTTGGTTTGGTTTGGTTTGTGTGTGTGTGTCTCTGGTGATGGGTATTTAAATAAAGAAAATTTAGGTTTATATATTTATTTTTGGAATAATTTTAAAATTATCTTTTTCTATTAATATATAAATTTAAATATATTTATGATATCACGGTTTGATCCGATTTGACCCAACAATTAAACTAATAACCTATCCATCTAACTCGTTTTCTGATTCATCACCCGTCCGATTTTTGAAACATTGCCCAAGAGTACCAAAGCCTTTCTCACTCCACTACAAAATGCAGTTATAAATCAACTTACTCAATAGTTTTATTCTATTTTCATTAAATAAAAAATGCATGCATCAATTAAGCTATCAATCATATATATTTTTATGGAATTAGCTCCTCTCCAATCCGTTAACGGACTGGAGGATGCTGTTTGATTATTGTGGTCTGGATCCATTTTAATAATTCAAACTGTTCAATCTATAGAATTTGTCGAATATATTATTTCTGTAAAAAATTACGTTGATCGGATATCAATAGATATTATATTAGATCACATTTCTGTCAATGGCATGCATAATTTTCAAAATAAATTATGATTGGAATATGATTTGATCAAGTGACTATCGATATCCAATCATCATAATTTTTTACAGAAATGATATAATCGATGAACTCTACACATTCAACGGTTTAAATTATCAAGATGACCCTAAATTAGGAAACAAAAATGGCCCAACAATATCTCTTTGTCCAATAACTGGACTAGAGAGGAGCCCCCTATTTTTATTGGTATCTCTTCTTAGAAACCAACAATTCACAAATTTTTTATTTTGTCCTACTAATACATCATTTTAATCCTATGCATATAGTGTTAATCTTGTATATTATGTAGAACACAAAAAATGTTTGATATGAATACTGCCACACAATTTTGATTCTTAAAAAGTTCCAACAATATTATATTTTTTTAAAAATAAATTTTTTTGTGACTTAGCAGTTATTGTAAGGGTAAAAATGTAAAATAAATCAACTACAAATTATTGCACAATTGACAATACTCGATCCTGTCTCTCCACACTCACCATCTCAACAACAGTTCCAACTACACACCTGCACACATTGTCCTCTAGTAGGATTAAATGAAATGAAAAAGTATAATTTATTGAAAATTTTGCCAAAGCTCTATGATTTCCTAACAAGCTGCACCAATTTCTCAATCGCCAAATCAATCTCTTCCTCACTTTTCTCTCTCATCCTCTCACTTAATTCTTTAACTTTCCTTCTCACCTCCTTTCCATCTTCTTGATCCACAACTTGTTTGATCACTCTTGCCACTTCCTCTCTCTTAAACCTTTCATTCTCATTCTCTATATTGACCTCCTTGCCCACACCAATCTCCACCACCAACTTGGCATTGTAGGGCTGATCAAGGCGCATAGGCATGGCTATGATTGGGACACCAAACATCACACCCTCTAAGGTTGAACCCCAACCACAGTGGCTCACAAACCCACCAATGCTTGGGTGACTTAATATCTTTGCCTGAGGGGCCCACCCCTCTATTACCAAACCCTTATCTTCAATCCTCTCCAAAAACCCTTCTGGAAAGACCTCATGAAGAACCCGAGTTTTCTCTGCTCCATGAAACCTAACAACCCATATGAAACTCACTTTGCTTAGCTCTAACCCATGAGCTATTTCTTCAATCTGTTGTTTGGAAAGAAAACACTCACTTCCAAAGGAAACAAATACAACTGAACTAACCTCTTTCTCGTCCAACCACTCCATAATCACTTCATCATCATCATTTTTTGTTGGGATCTGAATTAGAGGCCCAACTGGAACAACCTCTTTTCCTACTAAACCACAGAGATAATCAACATACTTGGCCTCGATCACGTTCGAGGTCTTGATCAACACGAAACTCGAAGACCTTTCGATGCATCCTAGGAACCTTTCTTTGTTTATGACACCATTCGTAGTTTCATACAAATACCGAATGACTTTGTCGCGCAGATCTTCCGAGATGTTGAGTTCTTGAAAAGGGTAATCCTTGTTTGCATCATTGGTGCAGTGAGTTAAAACAGAATAACTCGCCGCACAACCTGTCACGAAAACAACAGCCTCTGTGTTTTCTTCGTGAGCCGCTATTGGGACCCATGGTTGTAGGAAATCATAGATGACGATGTCGGGTTTGAGGGTCCTGAGGATGGTGAGGAATGCGGGTTTGGCGTTGTCGAAGGCGTTGTTGAGGGCGGGTAGGAGGTGGGGAGGGAGTTCTTTGGTGGTGTGGTAATGAGGAGGGAGGAGTGGCGAGGGAGGAAGGTGGATATCTATGAATTGTATTGGGGATGCTGAGAGATTGAGAGAAATGGATCCTCTGAAGGGTTTTAGATTGATAGGTGTAGAGCATAAGTATACATTGAAGTTTCTCTGAGAGAGTTTCTTGGCTAGCTCTATGAAGGGTGATAAATGGCCATGAGCTAACCATGGCAACATTAGGACACTCTGTTGCTTGCTATCCATCTCTCTCTCTCTCTCTCTCTCTCTAATTGGTAGAAATAATTAGCAAACAGCTGTGCTTTATAATATTTTTTTTTATTTAATTTTATTTGTAACATCCAATATAATAAAATTAGTCTTAATTTTACATTAAAATTAGGTAACCACAATTTAAAATTTAATGTGTATGATCCTTTTCTATGACATAATAATGATAAAAGATAATTTATGTCTCATTTAACAAGTGGTGATTTTAGCTAAAAAATTAAAATGTCACTAAAAAAAATCAAGAAGTTAACAATTTATACAAAAAAGTTAAAGATTCCTTTTTCTATTTACTTTTTACACATCTTTTTGTAAAAAATTAAAAAATCATCCTAAACATACTAATTTTTTTTATATCATATTTTAACTAAAAGATAAAAAAGTTACTAAAAAAATCTATTCCCAAACGAGGTCTTAGTATAAAAAATTAAAATTCTATATATAAAACCCATAAAAGGGTATTATTTACATAATTAAAATAAGAATATACAAATAAATATGTATCTTGTAACGTGCGAGAAGCCGAATGAATAAGTGCAAGGTGTATGGTGTGTGTAGTGCATGTGTGCCATGTGTGTGCAGTAACAAATGTAAATGTGTAGAGTAATTGTGTGGCGTAACGTTCGGGATACAAAGATTTGTGTGGAGCATCTTTGGTATATTAAAGATTTTATCAAAAAAATTATCAAATACTCACATAGTTGTGGGACCGTGTGAGACTTACATTTATGTGAGTATTTGATAGATTTATTGATAAAATATTGAGAACCTTGGACTCAAAAAAATTTACAAATAGGTGAAAAAGCATATCAATTTTAATAATCAAAATTATAATTTTTTTTTTATAAATTTATAAATATTTTATAAAAATACTACATATTTATAATTTTTTTGCTGTTTCTAACTTATAATTTTTTTTTATAAATTTATAAATATTTTATAAAAATACTACATATTTATAATTTTTTTGCTGTTTCTAACATTTTTGAATTGGGTGTGAGAATCGATTTGTTATATATTAATTGGTATTGAGTGAAAAAGACAAATGAGGAAGTGAGTTTTGGCACAATATGACTCCAATGGTATCTTTCCATTTTAACATAATTAACTGCTAAATTTCTATTTACTATTTTTTTAATTTTTATTTTTTATGAAAAGATGTGTAATGTGATAGAGAGATAATATGACTTAAATAAGAAATTATATGACCCAAATAAAATAAAAAAATAGTAAATATATTTTTTTAGGTTGTTGCCAAACAATCCCTTACTTTTAAATTTGTCTTGTCAATAACTTATCTTCTACCATTATCTTGTTCTAATTTATTTCTACCAATCAACTTATAAGTTATCTTGTTCTAACTTATCTTCTACCATTACCAACAAACTATTCCGCTTGCTTGGTTTTATTTTTCTAAAAACACTTTTTAAAAAATTTTACTTTCTTATTTTTCTTATTTTTTTGTTTTTACTAAATTTTTTTATTATTTTAAACAATTTTTTTATTTTTTAGACACAACTAACATAAATACACTTAAAAAGTAAAAAAAAATTAAAAAAAATCTTTTAAAAATTCACTAAATACCAAAAATATAAAAAAATACGAGAATTCAATACATTTTTTATATTTTTATGTATTTATTAATTTTTTAAAATATTTTTTCACAAATTTTTTACTTTTTAAATACATCTAAGTAAGGTGCATCTAAAAAAATAAAAAAAGAAGTTTAAAATTTTAAAAATATTAACTAAAAATAAAAAAACACGAAAACCATTATTTTATATGATTCTATATGTTGTATGAAATTATTATTTTAGTGGACCCCTTCCATAATTATTATTTAGTGGACCCCTTCCATATATGGAATTATTATTTTAGTGGACCCCTTCCATATATGTTGTATGGTTTTACTTTTTGTATGATTCTATATGTTGTATGGAATTATTATTTTAGTTTGGACAATAGTTGATTTGTATGTACTTGGACAGTTAAAGTAATTTATTTTTTATATACAGATGCAGATTGTGCAATGATTGATAGTTTATGTATCATTTTATTTATATATGTATTACAGGTTGTATGGAATACAGACATGTTATGGACAAATTATAATATTTGCAATAAAACATAATATCATGTTTTTGCCGACTAAACGTTTTGTAGCCAATAAAAAGGAAAAAAAAAAAAAAACAAACATTTGGCTACTAAAAGTTTTGTAGCCAAAAGAAAATCAAACATTTGGCTACTAAATTTTTTATAGGCAAAAGAAAAAGAACCATTTGGCTACTAAATGTTTTGTAGTCAAAAGAAAATCAAACCTTTGGCTACTAAAAGTTTTGTAGTCAAAAGAAAATCAAACATTTGGGGACTAAAATATTTTGTAGCTAAAAACAAAAGTGGAAGAATAAAAATACTTTTGGCGACTAAAAATTTAGTAGCAAAAAATGTGCGAGAGTAGGCGACTAAATTTTTAGTAGCGAAAAATGTGGAAGTTTAGGCAACTAAATTTTTAGTAGCCAAAAGAAGTAGTATTTGCCGACTAAAATTTTAGTAGCCAGAACACTAATATTTGCTTTCGGCGACTAAAAAATTTAGTAGCTAAAAATTTTTGCGCGACTAAATAATTGGCTTTTGGTGACAAAAAAAATGGTCGGCAAAAATATATTATTTAATTAATTTTCCAACCTATTGGCGACTAAATATTTATTTGGCAAATGAATACATTTGGCGGCTAAATTAAGTTTAGTCGCCAATTAGCTTTCCCGACTACTCTTCGGCTACTAATTTCCCGACCAAAAAATTTAATTGCTAAAGACTATAGGCGACTAAAAACCTACCTTTGGCGACTAAATTTTTAGTTGCCAAAAGTGAAAATTCTTGTAGTAAAACTTAATTTTTAAAAAACATAATCCAAAAAACTCAAACTCAACACATTGATTTTTTTGGGCGGGCTTCTCTCTAGTCCCAATTGGAGGTTTCTATTGGACTTGTAGAGGCTCATCACGGGTCTCATTTCGCTAATTTGAACTGTTCAACGTGTAGAACTCATTGAGTACTATATACTTGTAAAAAATCATGTTGATCGGATATCGATAGCTATCTCATCGGATTAGTTTTCTGTCAACGGTTTATTTATTAACCGTCCATTTTTTTTATATACAAAATTGATTTGATCACTTAGCTATCGATATCCGATTAATGTGATTTTTTATAAATATATAATACTCGACGAGTTTTATACATTAAACGGCTCGAATTATCAAAATGGAACCCGTGATAGGTTTCCAAGGATTCAACAGTACCCTCCAATCTAAACTGGGGTGGGGGGAAGCCAATGCCTATTTTTTAGCTGTTATCTGCCCGTTGGATTGACATTTGAAGACAATGTTGACACTCATAAAAGACAGGATCAACACTTGTGTAGACAATGGACGTGGACACCACACTTTTGTTGGATTTTATGTGAAATATTTGGTAGAAATTTTAGTATTTTTAATATTATTTTTTTCTTTGAAAAATGTTAAAGGTCTCAAAATTTTTATCAAATATTTTATCAAATGTCTTACATAAATGTAAAATTTACACTTATGTGTGACTCACCCTATATGAGACAATTGGTACAAATTTTAATATCCTTAGCATTACTCTTTTTCTTTTTAATACTTTGATCGATTGTTAAGTTGTTTTCTGTCATCTGTAAATTGTTGTAATTCTAAGATTATTTCTGTAAATTTCTTGTGGTGCGTTGTTTGATTTATAGGTACTTTGGATTCTTTGTTGTTTGATTCCACACCAAAGTTTTTTTAGTTATTTGATTCTTATTTATTTGATTTCCATTCAACCTGTCTTGATTATTTGATTCTCTCTCATATATTCTCATATATTCTCGAATTTTTGAGTTCCACTCAATGAAACTACTTATTGTTTATTGCTAATATCGAGAACTTTTTATATATTTCTATTATTGTTAAGGTTTTTTATTTTCAAAAGTTTTATGTAGAAAGTTTAGAGATATTTTTTTTTTTATGATTTAAACTGTTCACTTTGTGTATATCATACAAAAAAAAAAAAAAAAAAAAAAAAAAAAAAATTAAGTCGTATGAACTATTTTCTTTGTATATATCATCTATGGAAAAAAAAAATTTAATCGATCTGATAATCGTAGCATATTCAATTTATCATGTTTCTTACTTAAAAAAATTAGGTCAATTTGAACTGTTCTCTTCATATATATCATTCATGGAGAAAAAAAAATTAGATTGAACTGATAATGATAACCTAATAATCCTAAATGCACCTAAAAAGTAAAATTTGTGAAGAAAACTGGAAAAAAAAAAAAAAATCTCTAAAAATGAAAATGTCAAAAAAAAAAGGGCACATTTTTGTAGTGTTTTGTTTTTAGTAATTTTTTTTTTAATGATAAATATCTATATCTTATGTAGGTGCATTTGACTGAAATATGAAAAATAGAGTTTATTGAAAATTAAACAAAAACAAAAACTCAAAAATAATTTAAAAAACTTAAACCACATAAATCTAATAAGTGTATTTTTAATAAAAATAAATAATTAATTATTAATAATTTTTGTTGCATATGTACTTAATTTAAAATACAATTTTGAATTTTTTTCCGTATTAAATTTATCATGTTTCTTACCACAAAAAATAAAGATAAAAATGATTTATTTAAAAAAAACACACGTGGCATCTATTTTTTTGAGACAGATGTGATAAATTAAATATATTATGATTATTAGATCGATTGATTTTTTTTCCCAAGATGATATACACCAAGGACACAATAAAATTAACGATTTGAAATATTAAAACAAGATATGTGGTAGGCCTAGATAGCCCCTTTCGCAAACTATGAATAATTCTCATACAACACTAGGGAAAGTCTATTTACATACCATCATTTCTCGCATCCCACACCATTACTTAATAGCATACAATTTTTATTATTTTAATTTTTTTTCTCAATTCACACCATCAAAA